AAAAAAAAAAAAAAAAAAAAAAGAAACCCCTCTAACGCACATTCAAAATCATTCTCACTTCTAACCCTAACTTCCTTCAGAGGACTCAAAATCAACCACAAAAAGGGAGAAAGGAGAGTGACACTTCGACAAAACCAAAATCAGAGGTTCGTATGCATTACCTGATTTCGGTTTCGAAAGCTTGATGTAGAAATCCCCAAATGATGCAACAGTTCACGCACAGGAAGCACACAGTAAAGTTTTTTGCAGAAATTTTGCAGAAAATGAAATGCAAGTAAACTTCTTTCTATAGAAAAATAACTATTTATACCTCCGAGCAAAATTAGATCTCTACGACTGAGATTCGTTTAATCTTACGGTCCTTATTCACGCCGTTTCGAATTCAACTGTATAACCCTAACGGGAGTCGTTTGATTTCAACGGTTCACTTCCTAATTCTGTTTGTCTGACTGTCACGGTTACTTTTTTCAGCCCGTATTAATTGTACACATCTTTTGACAGACAGCTGTCCTGTCACATAATAACCTTACATAAGACTTTATAAACGGGCCCACTTAAGCCTAACTCAACACTTCTGTTTACTTTCACAATTATATTTTTTAACTTACAAGTGGTTCACTTTAGCTACGGCCACAGTGACTTAGTGTCACATATTTCACTTCAGCTCTGGCCACAGAGACACATGCTTTACCTCGACTCTGGCCTCTATGACTCCGGTCATTATATTTTATTACCCCTGTAACTCATCTTTAATATTTTTGTCCCCTTTTCTTTCTATTTATACACTACTCCCATTGTCTCCAACAACATCATTCACAAGTGAATGACTTCGGGGGGAGGAATAGTGTAAGGATAAGTCCGAGGTTAAGGACCTCGGACGTACTATAACAATTCCTTGATAATCGAAATTAAGTTAAACGCAGCATTTCTGGTCAAACGACTGTACGATAAATACAGTGGGCATATCCACACCTGATTTATTGTATAACTCTCCGGTCCTGAATTTGTAGCCGGTCCCGAGTTTATCTCTTCAAGGGACACGTCACACTCCGATTATCTTGCTTGGCATGCCATGTGGGTTCCTCACTGAAGCCTATAAATACCCCCTAGGGGCCACGTAAAAAAGGTAATTGAAACCAACCCTAAACTCCTTTTATCTCCGCTTTAGAGATAGCCCCGATTATTGCTAACTTAAGCATCGGAGTGTCTACCCCGAGGACCCACCTCGGGGCTTTGCAGGTCAATCCGGAGTGCAAATACGGACTGAAGAAGGACATCTGGTTTGGTGCAATTACAGCAAGAAATTCAAACTTTATTTCTTTGAAATTTCAAATACGAACTCCTGAATTTTCCCCTTGTTCTCTATCTCACAACATTCTCAATCATTTTGTTTTTTTAGCTTTTTCCTCTATTTTTGTTTTTTCATTTTTTTGGTCTCTCCATCTCTCTGCCTTTCTCTCAAATTTCTTCCTTCTTACTCTCTCCGCTCACTCAATCTCTACCCCTTTCACAAGCTACAAAACCCCTTATTTATATAGATGAAAAAAGAACCCCAACCCCATCATGATTCTAAGCTCTAATCTAAATTTTAGATAATGACCCAATCCTATTTGGAATTGGAATTCTAAAATTGACTTAGTTTTTCACGCATCTTCACTATTTCAAAGCTAAATTCATATCTCTTAAAGATCAAGACTGCCATGTTGAATCGATTTCAAAATCTTCCTCTACAGTTCTTGATGAAGACTTCAAATCCGAAAATTTCTAATGTTGTGATCTATCCAAACTTGAGTAATTTAGGACTAGACCAAGAATGATCTGTAAATTTTCGAAGAGTGGTTGGCAGTGGGTCAAAAAAAAAGCAAAGGGGATTGTGAGTTGCAGAAGAATGTGAATGGTTAGGGTTCATTGGGCCTTTTAATTTAGCATAACTACAAAATGACGTCATTTTAGTAATTTGCCCTTTCTATCCTTCATGTTTCACACTTTTGCAAACAAGTCCATTGGCTTTCAATTTTATTATTCAATCCCTAGTTAAAGTTGGGTTATGATAGTTGCCCCCTCTTTCTTTACTATTCTTTTCATAAAAAGAATAGTAAAGAATAAACGAATAACCCAATTTTAAGTTTGGAAAAGAATAATAGGAAGATCTCATCTTGATAATGTTCTATTTGAAGGCAAAAATTTATGTGATTAACAAACTATTTATAGGTGAAAATTTCATGTTCTTCCTTGAGATGTGGTCTTCATCTCTACTTCTCCAAACATGTGGTCTTCATCCAAGATATTACTTTCTAAGATGTGGGCTTTTCCTTTTCATCTTCAAGATGCAATGTTCATATCTTCTTCTTCCTAAGATGCAATCTTTATCTAGGATGTATTTTTTAAGATGTGGACTTTATCTTGTCTTCTTCAATATGTGTCTTTATCTCTTCTTCTTCCTAAGATGCAATCTTCATTTTAGATATGGTTTTCTAAGATGTGGACTTCATCTCTTCTTTTTTGAGATGCGATCTTCATCTTTACTACTCCTTAGATGCAATCTTCATCTAGGATATGACTTCTAAGATATGGTCTTCATCTTACTTTCTACAAGATGTAATCTTAATTTTCTTTTTTTTTTTCTAAGATGTGATCTACATCTTTTCTTCTTCTTAAGATGCAGCCTTCATCTAGCATGTGACTTCTACGATGTAGTCTTCATCTTATCTTTTGCACGATGTAATCTTCATATCTTCTTCTTCCTAAGATGTTGTCTTCACCTTCTACTGTTCTTAAGATGCGATCTTTATCTAGGATATAGCTTTCTAAGATGTAGTCTTCATCTTTTCTTCATTGGGACTCCTTTTCTTCTCGAGATGTGGTCTTCATCTAGGATATGTTTTTCTAAAATGTAGTCTTCATCTTTTCTTCTTTAAGACTTTTCTTCTTCCTAAGATACGGTCTTCATCTAAGATGTGGTTTTCTAAGATGCAGTCTTCATCTTTTCCTTTGAGATGCGGTTTTCATCTCTCATTTCTTTGACAATGATGTTGAATCAAATTTTTATTTCTTCAAACCTTAATAAATAATGGCTCTTGCCAATGTTCAATCCAACCTTCTTCAAGTCTTCTCATTTTCGTTTAATTCAAACTTGAACTTTCATTAATATCCACAACTTCAAACCTTGAAGGCTTAAGAGATTAGCAAGTGTCTTTAGTGTCATCTTGAACCATCATTAATCTTTTGATGATGCTTTAAATTTTATGAACATGTTTGATTCACCCATACTATCATCAAGAATTCAATGCATCACTTTTTCAAATGTCAAATCTTACATGCAAAAATGATGATTTTGGAATCTTTCAAAGATGTTGAAATCAATGTCAAATTTAGTGATGTTTAAAACAATCATGGGCAATGTAATATCCCAAAATTTTCTAAAATCTTAAAATTTAAGTGAGGGTCTTATGTAGGAGAATTTTTATTGTTGGGCTTAATAATTAAAATTTTCAAACCTAAGAGAGGGTAAAAGAGAAAATCTAGTGATAAAAGGGGCTAAGGTTGATTTTCCTTTTTTCCTTGCCCTTTTTGTGTGTTTTCCTAGCTTCTCACTAGAAATTTTGCCACCACAAGCCTTAGCCTGCCACCAACACCTCTTCACTGGAAGAAAGAAGTGAGACTTAGCCTTTTTCTTCCTTTTCCTAGCAAGGTTTAGAGATTAATGAGCTTATGGTTCCAAAATGATGATAAAAAATCCAAACCTTGCTACTAATACCCTAAAATCTCGTAGTCCATGTTAGGTTTATTGTACAATGTAAAAGGTCACCACTTTTTTAGCATTTTCTGGTAAGAGTGAGCACGAAACTATTTCTTTCCCTTAATTCTAGTAGAATTAGTGTGGATATTGACCATTTTAGGTTGGGAAATTTCCAGTCACCCCTATTTCGCCGAAAGTGCATAAAGTCAACAGGCTCAATCTTGCGCCTGGAGACTAGTTAGCACTCATCCCTTTTAACTATTATAGTTGAATAATTTTATCAAGAAGGAGATTTTCGAGAGGGCTATGTGATAGAATGGGGTTAAAAAATCCTATGGGCTCTTATGGGTGTTCTATTTCATTATTTTCTTGTAAAGTCATAACAGTATTATTATAGGTGATTTTAGAATAAAAATAGTAGTAATGATGAATTTTCTTTAGTTTGATGCACGCCACTCATTAGTGGTTAATTTACCATGTGGGAAACTTAAAAGCAAACCAAGAATGTTCAATGGTTCTTGATGCTTTGTCTTATGTTTGGAAATTTTTGTGAAATTAGTTTGTGCTTTCTCCTACTTCTAAACTTGTTGCATTATTTGATGCTTGTTTATGGCCACCAGTATGGATTTAATTGTCCCATTTGGATCTAGGTGCAGAATTTTCTTTGGAATGACTTTGATTGTCATGTTCATATACTTATGTGAGAGTTTTATTTCCATAAAATGCAAGTGCAAAATATATGCAAGGGGAAACCAAACTTTTAAGTCAGGGTAACTCCAAATTCAACATGATTAGGTAATGTTTGAAATAGGTGAAGTTGCAGAATAGGATTAGACTTGCCACACTTATTTTGCTGTGTTTTGCTCCTTGCTTGTGTATTTGTTGTTGATTTCATTGGCTAAAAATTTGAGTGGCTGTTAGTTTATTTTCTACTTGTTTCTACATTTGTTATTGTATAAGATCTCATTTAATTTTAGCTTAATTACATGCTTATTCTTGTTTGTCATGATTGGCTTGATTACCTTGTGAATTCTTGTTTGTCATGCTTGCTTTGCTGTAGTTTTGGTCTGTTGTGTTTGGTTTTATCAATCCGTTTTGTGTAGCATTTGTTTGCCCTAGATATATTTTAAGTTAGGCTTGGGCATTTGAGGTAAAGATAGCTTTTGAGTTGACTTGTATAATTGGTAATATTAAAATCACACCACTTCGAGGGCATTTAGAGGTAGAAGCAAGATTTTGATTTGTGTTAAGGAATATCATTTGTTTTGCTATCATGAAATTGTGATGATTGAAATTATTAACCTGGTTGTTATCTATATTTTTCTAATAAGCTAAAGAGAAACCCCAATCCTGTAACAGAACATGAGAAGTAGAAGGAATATAGGAAGTGCTATGGAATAATGATAACTTATTTTATGGTTATTTAAATGTCATTTTTGCTCAGCCTTCTTGTCATTTTTCTTCCCTGTATTGATTCTAAATTTAGGGCACAAAGCTGCTGGACTTTAATCATTTTAGAGTTATTTTGAATTATTTTTCCTATGAATTTGGTTGGTGAATGGTGTAAAATTCAGCATTCTTGAATTTCGAAGTGTCTTGGTTATTTAAGGGTACAAGACCTTAAGTTAGCTTGAAACAAATGTATAAGGAGGAAGGGTCTTGTGAGTTAAGGCATGTTTTAAGTATGACTATACATATTAGTATACAAGGTCTCAATGGGTAGAAGTGGTAAGGATGTGTAGGAAGAAATTGTTTCTTTAGTTAAAAACTTGATACTGGATTAGAAGCCAATTTAGTTAAATAGGGTATGTTGTAATCTTATTTGTACTCTCATGTGGTATAGGTTCTTAATCATTTCTATCGCCTTAAGATCTTGAATTCTTACTTGTTGTATACTTACAAGGAGAGGAAAGTAAAATTATGGTAAATGCCCTTGGTTTTTGAAATAAAGGTTTTAAAAGCACATTTTAAAACTATTTTTGTAGTGGTGGCGAGACTAAACCCGTTTTACACAAACACGAGCATGATTGGTTGAGGTGAAGTTGTTATTTATTTTATTGAATTGAGCATGCCTATAGAATGCATACTTGATAGTTTTGCTTACTTGAGTTTTGGGACTGTGAAGCTATAAATTATTTTTGCTAATCTCCTGCATGGTTTTGTCTCTTGTATGGTCATGAAATCTAGAGCTCATCAGTGGGAGTTATAAACACTAGCAAATGTTGACATGTATATCTGTAGGATCAATTCATTATGTATTTCTATTATCTTGCCAATGAGAGAGTAGATTGATGTTTTTATTATCCTACCAGTTGGGAGAGTACACTAGTCATGACTAATTGAAAGGACCACTAAATAAATTTCATTATGCATGAATGATTTTTAATAGAGATGTTCTTCCTGTTTAGAATTAAAATATTTACTTGGCATACTTTAAATTTCAATGAGGGCTATCCATATTTTTACTTATTAAGTCATCTCACATAGTGTTCTCATCCACCATTTTAAGTTGCGAGACTAGGGATGCAGGGAACTAAGGGGAGTGACAAGCTAAAAGGCTAGCCATTTATATTTTAGACTTAGCTCATTTTGGAGATAGACCCGCTAGACTAATTATTTTGGAAATAGATTTTTGAGATATAGATCATTCTTTTGTAGGCTAGATTCCTTTGGATATAGTCATGACTATACTGCTAGGGTTGTATAAATTTTTGGTGCACTCTTGACCTGGTCATAACCTTGGTTATAAAAGCGAAATTTTATTTGAGATATTGATCTTAGTTTAGTGGATTGCCAATTGTGAATTATACATAATGAATTAAGCAGGTTGTCAACCTTGTACATTTATAGGATCCTTTCACAAGTACACGGCGTCTGTTTCACTTCCAATTTTAGGGCATGACAAGCAAGATTAACAAAAAATCTTGTGAAGCGCAATAGATTATATGGACAAATAATGTGATTTAACTTCCATGAATAATAACTACCAATTTGACCTAGAATACAATTAAGATGCCCCTTTCATAAAAATGTTTTTTTTCTTTCTTCTCTTTTCTCTTTTTCTTTTTCAAAAGCAATCTCACAAGTGCACGGCATCTGTTTCACTTTCAGTTTTAGGGCATGACAGGTAAGATTAACGAAAAATCTTGTGAAGCGCAATAAATTATATGGATAAACAATGTGATTTAATTTCTATGAATAATAATTGCCAATATGACCTAGAATATAGTTAAGATGCCTCTTTAATAAAAATGTTTTTTTTCTTTCTTCTCTTTTCTCTTTTTCTTTTTCAAAAGCAACTCCCAAAACACATTTTTTTCTCACTCTTCTCTTTTGAACTTCCCTTTTTTTTTTTTTTTTCTTGAACTTCCCCTTTTTTTTTTGTTCAAAAAGAAATTGGTCCCATTTTCACAAATGAACCAAATTCCTCAAGAATAGTTTTATAAGGATTCAAATGATAACAATAGTGAAGGTGCCAATGAAAATGCTTCAAGAATTATCAACCAAGTGACAGTGGAATTATGAGTTTTCAAAAATTGGAATTTTGGCTAAAGGAAGAAATGTTTCACTAATAGAATCTCCACTTGTTTGCCACATTCGCTTCTAGTCATCTTCCTCTTTTCTTTTCTTTACGTTTTTTTTTTTTTTTTTGTGGGAAGTATGACACTCAGATTCAATATCTTTCAAATTCTCTGATAAGGACTTTGAATAAGTTTGTATCATGGCCTAAGTCTTGGTTAATTAGAAAGAAAAGATATATAAGCTCAATGACAAAATCCCTTTTACCCCCTGATTTTACTCTTCACACCCCAAGCTTTTGATGTAAGCACATTAAAGAAATAATCACCTTTGCTTTTCTTTTATGATGATTGCCTTTTCTTTTAGCTCAAAGTGAGTAACTAAGGTCAACTTCAATGTTTGGGAAATAGAAACAAGGCCTTTCATCATTGAACTTAAAAGCTCTTTTAATCTAAGTATGACTTGCTATCCTTGGTCTAGTGATTGCCATCATCAAAATGTCTACATCCACAAATATCCAACCCCCAAAAAGGACTTTTTATGGGTTGTAATGGAGATTAGGTATGGCTATTGAGAGAATAGTCAATATTGGCTCAAAGTATCCAACTTGCCCCTAGTTTCATGCCATGTCTTTGAGATTTCTTCTTCAATTTGTTTTAAAACTTTCTTCTCCTTAATTGGCTTCTTTATCCTCAATTTCTTCTTCTTCTTTTTTTTTTTTCCACTTTCTTTGACCTTCTTTGAGTTTCTTTCTTCCCTTCAAAATAATTTTTACCAATCCTCCAATGGAAATGACTTTTGCTCCCAATTTGGCGTACAACAATATTCCCAAGTCATTGAATTACTCATGAAAGAAATGTTCATTGAAATTAGGTTTAAAGTGTTTAACTAAGGATAATCTCTCAAGGTTCACGAAATGAAAGTTTCAAAAAAGAAGGCTTTCTATCTTTGGATCCTATACCATAGTTATCAAGATGATAACAATCACCTAGTAAAACTCCCCCATTTTTTTTTTAATTTTGTACAATTTGTGGCAATTCTTGAAGATGAATTCTTGGCAAAACTTTTCATCCAAAAGTATTCAAATGGTAAGGATAAAAATTCTCAAGTCTTCTATCATAGGAATGTTTGATTCAAATTTTTTAGATCAATTTCTCTTTGTACATTTCTCTTATTCTTACTCATCCATTATTTCTCTCTCCATCACCTCCCCCATTTCTCAACTTCTACTTTTTTTTTTTTTTAAGCCTCAATTTTCTCTATCAGGATCAAATTTGTATTCAAGTTCATTAACAATGCAACTCATGGAAGAATAAAATCTATAATTGAATAACCATGAATTAAAACATGAAGAACTTGGAAACAAAGATTCAAATTGCAATATGAAAGGAGTTTGGAAACTACAAATGAAAACTACCATGAAAGACACATTTTATTCCAAAATGATAGCAATAGGAGAAAAAACTCCATTGTTCACTTGTTCAAGCCTTCATTAGTAGCAACGTCAAGATCAACCTTGTCTAAATGAAACTGTAAACATTTCGAATCCATTTTATGCTTAAGAGTTAGACACCTTTCTATATCATGACAAATGGTCCCACTATGATAATCACATCTAGCTTGTGGATCATACTAGAATGGCAAAGGACTAGGAGGCTTGTTTGTAGGGATTGGAGTCAATTCCCCAAGTGCTACCGTTTGATTGAATATCTTTGAATATGATAATGGTAAGGGATCAAATTGTCGATACTTCCTTCCCTAATTTTGAAACGCTTCTTCAAGTTGATGCAATAGAATTCACCATTTGTACATCATTCTCTTTTTTTGTCCCTCCCACTTTGGTTAACCCTTTTCGTGTGAATTGAATTATGTAATTCTAACAATTCACCATTCTAATGTTGCTCAAGAATATCCTTTATAACTTGGTAATCTAGGATGACACTAGATTTGATTCCATCCTCAGCTTGCTCTCCTATAATGACCAACTAAGCAAAACTAAAGTTGACACAAGTCATAAGTTTCTCACGGTATGGCCCTTTAGCAGATTTGATGAACAAATTGCTCAATTCATCCCCTTCCACAAGCTAACAAATCCCTATTTATACAAATGAAAATTGAACCCCAACCCCATCATGATTCTAAGCTCTAATCTAAATTTTAGATAATAACCCAATCCTATTTGGAATTGAAATTATAAAATTGACTTGGTTCTTTATTCATCTTCCATGTTTCAAGGCTAAATTCATACCTCTTAAAGATCAAGGCTCTCAAGTTGAAGTGATATTAAAATCTTCCTTTATGGATCTTGATGAAGACTTCAAATCCAAAAATTTCTAATGTCGTAATCTAACCAAACTTGAGTCAGTTTAGGGATAAACCAAGAAGAATTTGTAAACTTTTAGAAAGTGGCTGGCGGTAGGTCAAAGAAAAGCAAAGGCGATTGTGAGTTGCAAAAGAACGGGAATGGATAGGGTTTATTTGGACCTTTTAATTTAGCATAATTGCAAAATGACATCATTTAAGTAATTCATCCTTTTTATCTTTCATTTTTCACACCTTTTGCAAAATAGTTCATTGCCTTTCAATTTTATTATTCAGCCCTTGGTTAAAATTGGTAATAACAGACAATACTAGGGACAACAATTTCCTCCAAGACTCATGAAGTTTCGTGAAGATTCCTCTTGCGAGGATTAAGATTTTAAGAATATTCTTCGTTACGGGATAAAGATAAAGGTATTTTTTCCCCCAAAAAATTTCCTCCACCCCATGGAGACCTATGGGGATTCATATATAATAAAAATAATATACAAATTTATTCTTATATATATTTTATAAATATATTACTAATTAATTTTTAATCAGCCAACCTAATTAGCTAAATTGTCCAACCTAATTTTTTTTCCAATTCTTGTCTTCTCAAATCCAAATCAATAATCTAATCCAACCTAGCCAAGAATGGCAATTCATGCATTTTTTTTTTTTTATGAACTTATTACTAAACTTATTAGACATGTATGACAATATGCATTTGCTGCAATTGGTGCTTTACTCTACTATATATTAATATATTTACTTATTTAAGTTGTTTTGAATCTTTACTCTTTTTATTACAAAAAAAAATATTAAATTTCATGTATTTAATACTTGACGGAACCAAATACGCACAAGATCTATCATGGGTATGGACACCAAGACCATTTTTGGCCCCTGCCAAAACTCCGTGGGATCCATGAACCCGGGTTTGGGTAAGGAGGGGGGGGGGGGTTGGGGAAGGGATCCCCGCCCCCGGTAACCCGTTGATATCCCTAGTCAATATCAATTTTTGCATCAATTTTCAACAGAGCAGTTGGAATTTGGAAGGAATAAAAAGGAAATGAAGACTACAAGGAGATCGGCATCTTCATCAAAATCAATTCAATGGTATTCCACATTCATTCATTCTTAGTCCTTAATCCTAAGCTTGCTACCTCCATTAATCTGTGATTTCGATGATACTTGCAGGCGGAGGTGGATAAGAAGAAGCTGAAGCTGTATTCCTTCTGGATAAGCTCTTGCTCTTTCCGGGTTCGAATTGCTCTCAACTTAAAAGGTAAGCTTGGAAATCTGAATTCATCTCCTCTGTTTTTTAAATTATTCAATTACTCTTTCTCTCCTTTCAGCGCTTCAATACCAATATATACCTGTTGATCTCTTCAAGGGAGAACAATTAACTCCCGGTGAGTAATTTCTTTTTACTTGTTAATCTTGACTTCTCATTCGCTAATTCATAATCATATTCATATTTTGTTTCTGTAAAAATTTATGGGTAGAATTCACCGAGGTCAATCCAACGGAATATGTACCGGCCCTGGTTGATGGTGATGTTGTGGTATCCGACTCTTTAGCTATTTTGATGGTCAGTTCCTCTACCTATACCCTCTCTTTCTACTTTCACTTCATTTTTTCAATTCGTTTTGCTCTAATTGCAGTATCTAGAAGACAAGTACCCTCAACATCCACTCCTACCATCTAATCTTCATAAAAGAGCTATCAATTATCAGGTAAGTAATTATTCTTCTTAATTATTTCTTCTCCCTTTAATTTCATACACACACAAATTCATCAATTGACTCATTTTTGTAGGCTGCAAATATTGTTTCCTCAAGCATTCAACCTCTTCAGCTATTTGGACATGTTAGTGCTATTTCATTCTTCAAATCAAAATGATACTTTTCTGGATTATAACAATGTTTATTATATTTCCAGAAATCTGTCAAGGAAAAATTCGGTACACATGAGGAACTTTCTTTTAACAGATACCATATTGGCAAAGGCTTTGAAGGTAACATATGTGCTATATTAGTTATCATATTACTTTTTTAATTGACAAGTAATCGAGTAAGCTTTAGAACCATTAAACATGTTTAAAAAAACAGTAAATAAAGATTCAAGAGTCTTAACACTTTTTTATAACAGGGGTTCAAGTATAGCAATAGCAAATATAAAAACGAAAGTTTTGAAGGTTTACTTTTATTTTTATTTCTGAGGGGATGGCAAAATAAAATTTTATACCTTGGGAGTACAGGGGTTAAAAAGAAACTAACACAATTACCATTTCCAGCAAGGTCTCATAAACCCAAAATAATAATAATAATATTATTATTATTATTAATCAAATATTAAGGGCTTAACACTTTTTACAACAAAGGTACAGAGTTCCTTTCCTTATTGAATTTAAGGCTTGAGCTTGATTTAACTGTTTCTTTCTATTTATTTCAGCACTTGAGAAGCTTTTAAAAGACCATGCAGGACGATATGCAACTGGAGATGAAGTTTTCTTGGTTTGTTTCTTTTGCTCTTGTTTTTAGGCCTTTATATTATTCTGTTATACATGGTCAAAGCACTCAAGGTGCATATACTTTCCCTAAAAGAAGTTTTTGTGAAATGGAGGTTGGAGTTTTAGTGTCACCTTCAAGCACTTTCGCTTCTTACCTTTTAATTTCTTGCTGCAAACTGTGATGTCCAGATTATACCCTGTTGTTTTTGGGGCCTAAACCTTGATGTAGTTCTTTATTCTCAAATTATGGGTCTAGGTTTCTAAGATAAAATGGGCTAACCATTGTCTTTAATTTTTGGTAAAATGAAAATTTTATTACCAAAAAATTCTATAGCCCTTATCTTAAGGCTGCTACTTCAGTTCTATAAAATGATTGAAAGAGACAATGTGATATACCAAAGCACACTAGGCCCAACCATTGTCAATGATCAGTGTTTGATATGCTATTCATCGTGGTATTGTTGTAAACTGCTTACCATCTGAGTTGCTTTAGGCAATGTTCTTTAAAATTTCACTTAAACTGCTTACTGTCTGAGTTGCTTTAGGCAATGTTCTTTAAAATTTCACTTCTAATTAGACTAGAGGACAAGAGTTCTTGTGATATATTTTAATTTATTGTGAAAAGCATCAAACCTAATAGTAACAGGCTCTCTTTTGCAGGCTGATTTGTTTTTGGCACCACAGATTTATTCAGCAATTAAGTGGTGTAATGTTGACATGGTAATGCTTGTTCCTTGAACTTCTTGCCAATTTTACATTCAATTTGTGTTTGTTTGAATGTATACTTAGGCCATTACAACAGAAGGGCTGACTTATTGTTGGAGATATCTCTGATTCTCTATTTTTGTGCGCTCTGTCTTCATCCTTTTAGAACAAACTTCTGAACTTTTAGAATATTTGGGTCTGTTAGTTTTGTAGTGTTTCTATTCTATTTTCAATCTAACTTTTCATTAATATTAGTAAAGATATGGAGCTATCGCCTTACCCTTAATGGCCTTTCATAGTGGGCACCTACTGAGTCTTCTTTATTCTCATGTCATTTTTGCAGGTTCAATTTCCTCTTTTAGCTAGGTTGAATGATGCCTATAAGGGGCTACCTTCATTTCAAGATGCTATGCCAGAGAAGCAACCAGATGCTCCTCCATCAGGAGCCAGTTAAAGTTGTCCTACCTTCAGTGCCAATTGACTTTAAAGGTAAAGATGCCAAAAGTATCGTCTAAATGGCTAGAAATAAGAAGGAAGTTTGCAAAGTGTCATTCCTGTATGTAGAATGGCGTGGGCACCTTATAGATGTGATACTGAATAAAGTTATAAACGATATGAATATGTGGTTTTTAAGACCATTTGGAATGATTATCATGATAAAGCTGAATGTTAGGAAATTTCATTGGCTTCAAATTCCGAATGTTGGTATCTAGCTACTTGTACTAATAACACCAAGAGAGAACCAAAAGAATCTCAAGGAGTCATTTCTCAAATGCTATGTTGGTCCTCTTTTCATCATTATTGTCACCTAAAAGAATTTTCATCATTATTGTCTTAAGGACAATGACCTTGGATTATATGCCATACATTTAAGCTCAGTTTGGTTTTATTATTAGAAATATCTAGTAATTATAGCTGTTTACTAATATGTTGTTTGAAATCAGTCTTTAAAAATATTTGTCCAAGCACACTAATTAAATTTATAGGGGACAACAATTATAGGCTATCATCGTAAGCCAAATCAACCGGAGCCTTAATTAATTTAAAAACTCTGTACCATAAAAAGGTTGCTATTTGGACAAACAAATTCATGGAAGATTTTTGTTGTAGTGATCTTCGAAAAATATTTTAAACAACTTTCATTAAGTAGGGCAAAACCATACATTACAATAAATCTGCCAGGCTAAAGAAACATACACTCCCTTAAACAATAACATGATATGATAACTGACAATAGTAGAAACAACTATATGCAACATACAAAACAGAACTTACACACATACGATATGTAGCACACCCTGTCAACTTGAATTTGTCACACATTTCGGCTCCATCGCATGTGTATTTAAATCATTCAAGGTGCGGAGGGGGATACCGTAAATATAGTTTGTAGCAGTGTAAGCAGAAGCAAGAAAACTGCAGCGACGACAGAGATGAATGCCCAGGGACTATTGCAATAATCACGCCTTAATGTTGCTTTCCATTTGTTCCAGGTTCTATCATAATACTCATTGACGCTGCAAAATAACGAGTCATAAAAGAAGTCATTTCCAAAGATGCCAACTTGAATACCCAGCTTATTGAACATGGTGGCGACTGCTTGATCATTGCCTAAGTAGTTAACAATTATTCCACATCTACGAAGTAACTCCACATCCTTGTCTGAATTGATGAGGCAATCCATGAGACGACAATAGGAAGTGAGGTATCCTCCATCCGTGGAGTACTGTTCAAAGGCAATGATATTATGATAGAAACTCTCTGTATTATCATCAATTATCATAGTTGGAATCTCGAGTATCCCCTTTCCACTTCTGAACTCTATATCAAATAAGCTCCCGGTTTCAAATTTGTTCACGTACTGGATTCCTGCTTCACTCAGTTCTGAAGCGGAATGCATGAAAGACCACTTGAAATCATCTAACCGCGACGCCTGGTCCATTTTTTGGAAGGAAGGAGACCAAATCGACTGTAATAAATGCAGTAGATGATTGAAACCTTCCACGGAGCCTCCAATTTCGTTAGCCCTGAGCCGTGGCATTGTATATTTAAACAACTGAAGTAGTGACTTGATGTATTCGCCCTTTTTTTCCTTGACCGTGATGTCCAGTAACTTCCATAGTACACAAAAAGGAAGTTGATTCTCAACTAGTGCCAAATCACGTAAAATGCTTCTCAAAACCAGACCCCCTTTGAAGACAGACGGATCCAGCTTTTCCTCACGCAGTTGATGAATTAGCTCAACAATAAACATCCGTCAAGGACCATCATTTCTAAGAACTCTTCTATGGAAATATTTAAACTCAACTGTGAGTAATAATCACGAGCTTCTTGTGCGATACCTCTCACCTCGTCCACGTATATTCCCAGCTCGATACCATTTCTATCGAGAAGCATTCTCAGAAAACGCACCTTGTGCATTTCCATTTTCTTCAAGTGTTCCTCACCATAATGGTAAGGACCGATAGAGACGCTGTAGGGTTCATAGGCTTTTTTATTCACCTCAAGCACGTCACGACTCAGCCTGAAAATTTTCTGCTTTGGCAATATCGCTGAATGCAATTTCTCCAGCTTCTTAAATATAGAAATGTGAATTTCCTTCTTTTCCTCTTCGTCTGCCATCACCTGAAAGGAAGAATATGTAGAAATTATCTAATTTAAGTTGCAGACATTGGAGGAAAAGGTTGAATCTGCGAATTAATAAACTTACAACGTATGCAGCTGGAATATAAAATCAAGAAGGTCGATTGTAGGGGTTGAAGTTTTTGAAGGATTTGAAGAGGGGAAGTTACAAGACAAGATAAACTCTCCAATATTTGTTGTTGGGAACCTTTTTTTTCTACGGCCATGGATGAGTGAGTCTTTCAAATATATGGAGCCAGCTTTTCTTTTCTTTTTTTTATTAATTTTTTCGAGCTAGTTTTTCGTACATTTTAGTAATTGATGTTGGTAGATCCCAATTTACACTTCATAAAGGTAGATACCAATTTATACGATTGCATAAAGGCCTCAACCTTTAATCTGTGTTGGAGTTGTGGTGTCAATGCTGCACGAGTGGCATCAAATGAAAAGAAGGGAAGGCTGCACCAACAGCACGGTAGCAGCAAAGTGCACCAAGCTAAGAGTTGTGGTGTCAAAGCTGCACGAGTGGCATCAAATGAAAAGAAGGGAAGGCTGAACCAACAGCATGGTAGCAGCAAAGTGCAGCAAGCTAAGTTACAAATGTTGATGAAATAAGGCTGCAAAGTTGCTGCAGAGTCACTGTTGTGGAGACATACAGTTTAAAGGGGCAACATTAAGTGGTCCATTATATATTTTGACATCACTTTAAAACAAAAAAAAACTAGTTTAATAATTCCATCATTCTTCACATATATAAGCCATTCGATATGGGATCTTAACTCTTCACACTCACAAAGAAACATACTAATTCAACAGTCACAGCTACGTGGAGCCACACAAATGGCAGCAAATCTTTTGAATGTAATCTTGCATTAAATGTTTGGTAGATTTTCTTGTATTAGATAAATCAGGTGAGAAAATTTACTGTTGATGTATTAAGAGATTTCTGCTATATAATGGCAGAAGATAAATGAAAAAAATGGGTTCCGATCTCACCAAATGAGGTAACTCCACGGTGTCTCTTTCCTTCTCCTCCAATTTCTCTCTCAAACCTTTCTTCTTACCACAAAAATTCAACAATCTGCGAAGGCAAAACCACTTGAGATCTTTATTGGTTCACTTCGCTATTCATAGCAGTCGCACTAGGATGGCAAGGGTAAGCTGCTTGTCTTAATGGAGTTGAAAATAGAAGAGAAAATGGAATAAGGTTTTATTGGTTACTGTTGTGTTTGCATGATTGAAGGACTCTTCTCTGGATAAAAAAGGTTGTTCTTTTTTTTTATATATATATATATATATCTTAAAAAGATTGCTCTTTAATTCTTCCGATAATTGAAGGAAAAGATGTTGAGATAACGAGCAAAACTTCTCCATGTTTGTCTCCCCTGGCTGGGCCATGCACATCGACCTTAAGAGTTTTGTATTATAATTTTTTTAATTCGATTAAAACATTATGATTGGGATTGTAAAAATTTAGTCACCTTAGTTATTTATAGCCCTCCTCTCAAACATGAAGACAAGATCGTTAACACACATGCACAATTTGGCAGAACCCTCCCTCGTGGCCTCATTATTAATGATATTTAGTTTATTTATATGTGCTGTTGTGGCTTAATTTCTAAATTAGTTTCTTTTTGCTAAGATATTAGTAAATCTTTATGCCGGAAGTAAAGTTAAACAAGATTTTCAGATTCCCTCAAAAGTGATTCCATTACTTGAGACTTGGTCCGCAGATGTATTATTTGATTTCATATGTTATTTTTGAAAAGATAAAATGAAAAGTAATGTGCTTTATTAACAGGTAATTTAAGCTAACAACACTAACTCAATTATTGTTATGAAATAAAGGTGGATGTCAGATTTTTTATTATAAATAGATAACAATGATTTCTTTAACTATTACTTTTTCAAGTTGGGTATTATTTCTAACAATAATTTTCTTGTATTAAAATGTAATTTACTCCTTTGTTACTCCTTATGTGTTCAACAAAAATTTTCTACAATCAAGTGTGATTTACTTCATATTTCCAATGGAAATTGGCTTGTTGTTATTGGATAATTAATTTTAATTGTATGAGTTACAATCTCTTCATGCATAAATAGAATCATTTTATATGAAATAAGAGAGTTACAAGCTTTATTTCCTTTTGTTGGTCTCGTTCTTCCACTTCTCTCTGGTTCTTATTTCTTCTATTTTCTTATAATTTATAACACATTATCAATACAAATTGTTTTTATATAAATTACTTTTCATGAACTCATTTGAGATGATGAAGTAATTGAGATAAAGATTTAACTGGAGGCAAAGTTTAAAGTAAGATTTTGAGGCAAAATTTTTCCTTTTAATTTTTTGTGTCTAATTTGAATATTTTGTAGTGTTATACCATTTTTCTTGTTTATATTTTATTTTACACTCGTCACAATATTTGAGTTCATTGTCTTGATAAAATGGTCTCCAACTGTTTATCATGTACTTTTGATATAAAAATTCATTTAACTACAATGAATCCAAAAGATTCAATTATAAAAGGGAATAAATCATCCCTTAAAGAAATAAAATATTCTTGAAGAAAAAAAATGGGCATCTTTGAAGGATTGCAATAAAGAAATATTTCATTATTATGAAGTTCAAAAAGCACTAATAGATAAATATTTGATGGTGAATAATTCATTAGAATTATGAAATTGTTTGGAAGAAGGATGATCATTAAAAATTAAAATTCTTCTAGAAGCTATTTATAAATGGATCAATTTATTACTCAAGTATGAATCCACAAATATTTTGAATTATTTCATGTAAAAGAAAAGATTATTAATGAAGATATATTAAAGAAGATATATTACTATTTTCAGGCATCAAATATCCTCTAAAAGTAATAATCTTGAGAGAGTAATTTTAACATATATATTTAAAACAAATACATGGTTTCTTGTTGACAAGAAGTTATAAATTTTTTATAATCGACCACAATCATCGATTTGATTGCATTCATTAAAGTGAATGTGACATTATATGATAATTGTAGTTAAAAATAGAGTCATGGACTTGAATCTTGCAAAATAAAATTTTTTTTGCATAATAAGTTGGCAAATAATTTGAAAGTTCTTCAATGTGACATGAGTACACATCCGTTACATATTTTTAATATATTCAAGCAATTCATGTATGTATCATATATGTCTCCAACCCTTTACTTAATAAGAAGGGAAAAGCAGCAAAAATAAATTTGTGAAAAACAATAATATGGATATGTAGTTATGATAATTGTGATACACAATTTTATTTTAAATTTAGATATCTTATATCCATTTTGAAAATATTGGGGAAATGTCAAACATACATCCCAATTTAGGGATTGTAAATTAAAAGAAAAAATTTTGTTAAGATCAACCATCCTTACTAAGAATTCATTTCCACTAAATAGATTAGATGCAAGAATGCATTTGTGCATAGATATGAGTATGATTATATTAACATTTCTTATATGAAAAATTTATATCCTAAATTTTGAGATTCACATTAATCTAATATAATGTCACTCAGTATGAAGATTACATATTAATGGAGAAATATTTTAGAAAAAGGAATTCATATTATTTATTAGTAATGAAATTAATAATGAAAAGTTGAAATTATGTAAAGCAATACTACTATTCAATGAAGGTAATGGTGCTTCAATGATAAAAAAAAAAATGACGTACATGCATTTTAATTGTGTACAAAAGGTATAATGGTGTAATAAAACTTGAATATTGTATTACTTTATATATACATCATATGGATAGTCCAATGATCCTTGTTATTCCACAATTATAAAAAAAAAAAAAAAGAAATCCCAAATACAATCAACTTGAAACTAGTGTGACTAAAAAGCTCTGAAGAGCTTAAACATTGTATAATTTTGAAAGTTTTGGAAGCACTTGATTGTTGTTTATTATTGAAAAGTTCAAGTTTTATTATCAAAGACTCCTAAAAGGTTTAAATTTTGTCTTTGAGAAATAAAATTTTTAAATATGTGACTTTGTTTTCTAGTAGATTATATTAGAATCTACTAAACTTTAAAGGTACAAATACATGATAGTTATCATATTGAAACCATGAATAAGAATGGAACAAAATGCCCTATACCACATCTCTTATTTGTGGCCGAAAGAAATATATATGAAAATATTAATTTTCTCTTATAAATTACATACACATATATAAATGTAATATGATCAACTATTAAAATTAACCAAAGTTAGCTGATCCTAAAAGGTATTTATCCTTGGGTTTCATTGACTTGGCCATCTAATGATTTTCCAAGTTTTGTATTCCCCTATGAACATCATTACCAAGGCTTTTATAAATAAAATTGCAAAAGAATCTCTTTTATTGTTATATTGGATTCAAGGAGATATGTAAGCATATAGTCAATTATTTGAAATATATTTTGATATGATATAACATTAATATATAGTTGAATATGAAGGTGACAAAATAATCCTTTATGCAATACGAAATGTTGCATTGAGAGTGTATCTAGGTTAATAGTCCCAAAGAAAACTAGGAATTTATGTTAATTAAATATAGGTATTTTTACAATAAAATATATTGATTGTCAATCTAAGGAAATCATGTTCCTAATATTAGGGAGAGATGAAAAATTATTAGAAAGACAAGAGATAACTCAAAATGCATTATCCAAGATCCTTGAATAAGTTTATATGAACTAAAATTCCAAAGTTTTGTTCTACCAGTTGTTGGATGCATATGAAATGAAAGTAAGTAAATCTTATATCCAAGTTTTAAGTACTTCTGCTTATATTAATATTTCTATTATAAAAGTTACTAAAATATAAAAAAAAAATGAGTATATTGTATGTACACCAGAAGCATGTTAGAACAAATGGTTTTAAAGATGAAAAATCCAAGAATGAAGAAAAAGCATAACCAAAATGTAAATACTATTGAAATAATAAAATTTTTATGAAAGTCTCAAGGAAATAGCACTTACTTCATATACTTGAAAATAATAAGAATGTTGAAATTATAAAACATATGGAGATCTCTATAAATTATAGTTATCCTAAAAAAGAGGATGGAGTTAATTAAAATGAAATTATTATTGATAAAAAATTTTGCATATGCAACAATGAAGGATATAGTTAATGAAAATGTGGATCTTGGATCAAAATTCATTGAAATTTGTTGACAAGGAAATGATTGGTTAATTTAAAAAGAAACAATCTAAGTAGGATTAAAATCACAAAAATTATGTGATGTTTTAGAATCAATATTCCAAATATATAATGGTATGAAGTTTGTAGGCTATAAGTGGTATTTGTGAGAAAATAAAATGAGTATAAAGTAAAACTTGTAGTATAAAAATTTATGTGAAACCTATAATTAGTTATAAAAAGCTATTCTCTTACGATAAATTTTATTACTAGCATATTTTTTTAAAAGTCCTTGAAGGGTTTCAATTAAATTTTATGGATGTTACAATATCTAAATACATAATAGTTTTATTTATATAAAACTTCCTATAGGACAGGAAAAGTCTGCAACTTAATATGCTTGAAGCATACAATGCCTAAAGCTTATACTTGACGTATAGGATAAAACATCAAATGCCTTGTAATATCCCAAAATTTTTAGAATATTAAAGTTGAGTTGGGGACTAATTTGTGAGGAAATATTATTAATGGCCTTAATAATAGAAATTCTCAAAGTTCAGGGACTTAAAAGGGGGAAAATTTTAGGATAAGGATCAAGCTGATTTTCTTCTTTTTCTTCCAGCCACTTTTCGGGTTCTGCTCATCTTCTTCTTTCCCGTCCCCTGCAGCCTCCCCCAAGCTGCTGACACACCCTCTTGAGGAGAAGGAATGGTAAAGCTTGATTTTTTTCCCTTCTTTCTTGTTCAAGAACGGCAAAAGGTACCCGTTTGCCCCTTAACTTTTCGATTTTTAAGGTTTTTACCCTTCATATTACAATATATGGATTTTTACCCTCAACGTTTTCGAGTTAAGGAAATGAGGCAAAATTTAACGCCGGAATGTCACGTGTAGCACGTGCATCGTTGGCCTCCGTCAAGTATGCGCATGTCAGCGCCAACTCAGAATTTTTTGACAACCTGTCATGCCAACTTGGAACCCCACGAGCGGGAAGTCTACTTGCTGCCAATTTTTTTGTGGGCCCCACTGCTGATTAAAGGTTTAAAAAAAAAGTTAAATCCTCGATTCAGTCCCTTAACTTTCATTTTTAAACTAAATTTACCTCGAACTTCAAAATATTGTGACTTGACACCAAAAATATAATTTA